CTGGTAGATTCACTACCCTATAGCCTGGTGTCCTTTCTCCAAGAAGCGAGGTTTTAATCAAATTTCGTTGCTCGGCCGCTATTTTTTGTAGTGGCGCGAAAAAAAAGAAGAGAGAGAGTGGAAAGCAGGATTTCACAAGCTGATTTTTTTTTTTTTTTTGCCATTGCTGTATTTTATTGTTTTTAGGTGTGCTTTTGTGGTGTAAACAATTTTACGCACTCCCCACAAATATTTTATCGTAAACGACAGTTGTAAAGTATTACGCACTGCCTCGGTTGCTTTGACCTTACTCACTAGAGCGTCACAGGAGCGATTATTTCAGCAAAATAAAAACGAGGACCTATTTCTCCCCTTAAATCGACCACTTTTGTGGCATCACGACGAACATACTTTCACCATGAAATCATAACAAATAATGATTGATGATGAAACTGATTGGGCCCCAACAGTGGAGTCACATTATTTAAGTTGCAAATAAACTGGGCGTCGTTCATGCAATGTGTTTACTTCCACGTTCAAATGTGTTGAGAATGAGTAGCCGAAAAGCGCAGTCTGCAGGCAGCTTCCTGGAGTGGGAAAGGGAGAGGGGGGGGGGGGGGGGGGAGAAAGGGGTGGATGTTGTGGGAAGGTGATAATATTTATTCTCACTCAGGAGAGTCGCCGGTCGTTAAAAAGTCGACTTGCTGATAACGGGAAAGCCTGTGGGGCCACATCTATAGTAACCCTGAGTAAAATGTGGCAGACAGCTGTGTTACTGAGAAGTTGCGATAGTGTAAACGATGGGGCGTTGTGGAGGCAAGTGAAGCAAAGACCTATCTTACGATTGTGCCGTCTTCATTAGAAGCAAGAATTTCGGTTTGCTTCTTCAACCCCTCCTGACGCCAATCCTTCCAATTTTGGATAAATCCGGGACAGCTTTGATTGCGCAAGCCCACGCCAATATTTAAGGGTCTTTATCAAGTTATAACACAGTCACCAAGCAGAGGTAAGGACGAATAAATACGCAAAAGAGTCCAAAATGGGATGAACAACCTATGAGATGAGATGTGTTTCAAACAGTAATGAAGAGATTAGGGAAAGCCACTTGATTTACAAGTTTTAAAAATAAATGTATTATCGACAAACCGAACCCTTTATTGCGCAAGCCAATCCTTGCGCAGACACGGGAATGGCTCCAGCAGCCGCGCGATGCCAGAAAGCAGCTGCTGGAACGAACCCAGCCATGCCACGACCCCTCGATCTCCGCCGATCGAGCGGCCTCGAACCTGCAGCTTGTGGGAAAAAGCGTTCGGTCGCGCTGGCTTCCTCAGTCTCGCGGATGGAGCGTGCCCGCGTCAACGAGGGAAGACACCTGGACGTCTCAAGGTCGTTGTGGTGCTCGCAGCTAGCCGCTCCTTTCGCGCTTTTTGAGGATTATCCTTACAGAAAAAGCCGACAGAAAAGCAGCCCCTGCCGTCACGTGATTTTTGGGAGAGGGTGAAAGGAGGAGGGCGCGAGGGGCATTTTCGTACCTTGCGGAAAATGATTTCGTTGGTCGGTCTTTAAGAAGTTTTAAGGAACCCAGGTTTAAGAGGTCGCGACTCGCAAGCAGTCGCAAGAGTGTGAACGGGACTGCGCAGGGTCACGGACTTGTAGAAAGTTCTCGTTCATTCTTGCTGCGGACATAACTATCGTTCATCCTTGTTTTTGTTGTTCTAGAAAGTGCTTGTTCATTCTCGCCCCGAGCGCGCTACGCTCGAACCTTCTCCGCCGAATCTTCGCCACATTAAACGTTTAGTTCTTCCTGTTTATTTATTGTTATTCTGGTCACCACCCGTGACAATACACAGGAGCACCTCAAAAGTAGACTGGTTGCTGTCTGGGCCAGCTTCAGGGAAGTCGCATAGACACTAGCGCCGCGTCTCTGGAGTGTCACGTGACCCCCCGGCTAGTGCTGTGCAAATACCAAATAGCAAACCCCGTATATTACAGTTGACCTAGTATATATATATATATATATATATATCTTACATCGTGGCCAAAACGAACGCATCTGTTGGCGTCTGTCGGTTTGCAGTGACCACTGTGGCAGTGACCATCATATTTGCCGCTTGGGGCGGGTCGGAGTACAATAACGATGACGTCATACGCAGGCCTTTCCGAATTGTACTGTCCGGGGGTTGAAGAGATTCAGCCAAACGGCGGACTCTTGCACGGCTCTGGACTCTTGCAGACGGCAGCGCCAAATCTCCCCTAACGGGCATTGGGTTTCTCCAAAAGCAATAAGAAATAGACAAAACAATACGCGCGCCGTCGTCATGGCAACCGCTTGGTTATGAGAGAGGGTGTGAAAAGTGTGGTCCCTCCTCTCCCTCTCTCTCACCCTCGGCGACAAAACAGTGTTGCCAGGTCTACTGATTTATCAGTAGATCTACTGATTTCGTTCCGGGTCTACTGATTCACTGAAAAACAAGAAAATCTACTGACTTTTTTTTTAGTAAACATATTAAAAATTTATTATATGGCCCCTTCAGTTCCCAGTGTCGCCCATCAAAGGAAACTCATAATGTCCCAGAATTAAAAACGAAGCACTGGCTAGATGGCCCAGAAGCCCGTCCTATTCGAGTGACGTAGCCGTATATTCATCTATCTATTCACCCAGAGCAGGTTCGGCAGGTTCGACGGTGACATCCGGGCCAGAGCCATATATGGAGAGAGTTTGGCTAGTCTATGATCTCGCCGTAACGTCCCTCTCCCGAGTGAGCCAATCAGCCCACGGCGCAGAGCGAGAGGTGTTTCCGCATGCGCCTGAACTCTCGGCTGCTCCTATACAATCCATACATGGGTAAATTACTTTCAAAATGTAATTTAATTACAATTACAATTACTTAGCTCCCAAAGTAGTTTAACTACAATTACAATTACTACTACGCGAAAGTAGTTCATTGAAATTACAAATTACTTTTTAAAAGTAATGCAATTACTTTACAATTACTTATTTCTGAGAGTTACCCACCTTGGGCCATATAACTGTAAACGAGTTATATGGCCGCTGTATAAATGTCACGCATTGTACTTTCCTTTTATGAAATTTGTTAAATGGATTATAGAACTTAATAGTTTGGAGTAATGAACTTATGATTTCTTATATTCTCAAAAAATAAAAATAAATGGCGACAAAATTCACAGGTGCGAGGTGAATCTCTTTAGAGCTTGTGCAAATGGTATCCAAGTCAAACCAACAAAAAATAAACTTAAAAATAATACAAGGAAACAAATATGTGACAGTACTGGTATCATAAAACTCGATGATTCGCTGCCTCTCCCTGTCTGTGGACTTGCAACATGTCGGACGTGGGTAACCGTAGCACGCGAACTGCGGTCGCTTCCACAAAACTAGTGTCACAATAGCAGCAACTCTCTTGCCAGGGATTCTGGGTTAATTCAGTGCACGGTAACACCCAAAAAAAAGCTCCTGAGATATATAATAAATTTAGAATCGTCATGTCAGGCGAAGAAGCAAAGAAGCAGCAGGTCTCATTAACACGACTCACCCTGCCTTACTTCCAACTGTTGTTGCTAAACTGCGCTTCTTCGCCTCGATGTTAGAGTAGCACGACCCTCTGTTAGTGGTACCAACATACGAGATAGAGGAGAAAGACGTGAAAAACTCATAAAGAAAAGAGAATAATTTCATGAACAAAAAAGTCCCCAAACTTGACTGAAATATGTAAGCGAATATGCTAGCGGCGAAGACGCGTAAGGAAAACCTCGAACCTCCCCGCCTCGACCGGATGATGTGATCGGAGCCAACCAGCTCGACTTCGACCCCCATGCCCCCGTGTGGGAATGAGAAATAAGAAAGACCCCTAGAAACAGGAGCAACAGGAAGCGAACGAGACGAAGAGTCAGATTCAACTACGACAGGAACGAAAACGGACGCGAATGAAGCCCTCATTTATCAAATTATTTCTCAAATTCTTCATTAAATTGTTTTGCAGTCTACAAAATCCTTCATTCCGTTCTATCCCATCCCTCTTTTCCCTTTTTTTGAGCAGGTTGGGAGACTCTCCCCCTTTATTGCTTCGGTTGTGCTCTCGTCGCCGTGGCCAGGGGGGAAAAGCGCCACCGCCGCAAAATCTTGCAAAAGTAATTGTAATTGTGCCTGAAATTTAGCAATTACTGATGCTAGAAAGTAATTAAATTACAATTCCTTTCAACCAAAAGTAATTATTACAATTACAAATTACTAGGAAAAGTAATTAAATTACAGTAATTTAATTACTGTAATTGAATTACTACCCAAGTATGATACAATCTACTAAAATAGCTTCGAGTTGAGCGGAGAGAGCCGCAATTTTCATTCATTCGTTCGGCGGAATGCATGGGATCGACATCCAAATTTCAGTTATTTTCTTTTATTTGGCAGGATGTGGCAGCCTCCACGAGTTTCTCCACGTTTGAACGCAAACTTTGGGTCAGGCGAAAAAGAAATAAGCCCGTAGCAGACAATGCGTAGCCTCAACAGTGCTCCGGACCAACAGCGTTGCTTCAAAAACCTTCCACAGCCCAGTAAGGAAAGATGGCAGCATGCAGAAGACTTCCATTGGACATGTTCGCGCGCACTTGCCGGAGCGTCTTGTTTCGGTTTTGTTTCAATAATAGCGACAGGTGAACGTCGCACTGTCGCATTCATCTGTGATCCCAAAAGTGCCTCAGTCTCGATTCTAAAGAATAATCCTCGAAACAGTCAATAATGACTAAAACAAAAACATTTATGGTGCCATTTTAATTTGTCCTTCGTATAAAGTTACTTGAGAACTGGTCTTGTTTTTTTCTTTCATTTTTATTTGTTTTTATTACCATGTTATTTGTTACTCTATACTATTTCTTTGAAGTGTGTATTAATGGAGATAACAAAACATCGCAAAACACATATTTCGTGGAATCTACTAACGGATAAGAGATGGCGCTCAAATAGCTAACCGGAAGTCGCTTGAAGTATCCGCCGGTTGATTCAGCGCCATTCGCACCTTCGCACTTCTCGATAGGTGGCTACCAACCGCGAGTGCTCCTTGAGATATGGGTTTTCGCACTCTTAAAGTATCAAATTTTAATGAGTTTTCGTGATACTCTACGTGTGAGATTTCGCTTTTAATTTGGGCGGCTTGCCAGCCCGCAGGTCATCCTCGCTCCTATGGAGTTCGACGAGTATGAGAGTCTACCGACGGGTAGTGCGGTGACCCACATGCTTGCGGGTGCCGCTGCTGGAATCATGGAACACTGCGTTATGTACCCCCTGGACTCTGTCAAGGTAAATGTGGAATGATGAACGATGCCTGACATGAGGGCTATCCGACCAACCAATTTCCGTATTTTGACTGCTCTACCTGCGCCTCTGAAACCAACTCACGATCCGCTCTGTTTCCCCGAGAAATATGGTCATACACACGTTGGGGACTTAAAATGTATACTACATGTTTACCTGGGAGTGTTGTGCTTTCCCACGACATCTACTGATCCGGGAAAAAAAACTAGCCGACGACCTTGAGACCCTCCTTGCCGGTGCGAAGCGGTTACTCGAGGCCGTCTCGTTTCTTTTTGTATGGAGGACACAAGATAGCTTTCACGCGGGTTTTCTGCAATTCGCACCGCTTATGACATACAAGGCCGTGAATATTGTTAAGGTTGGCACGTCCTTGGTATGCCGCTTTCCAACCGCCAAGTGCACTGGCGGTAAGAGCGGAGCCGGTTCGTAAGTTTCGCCAAAAGCGCACCACTTGCTCTAGCAGTTCGATCATACAAGCAGCAAGTCGCTGGTTTAAAAAAAATTGTTCTAAATATCTAAAAAAAAATAGTTTCGAACAAGTAGAGGATTCGGCGCAGAAGTTAGGATACCGCTGTTGTAGTGCAAGTTACAGACAGCCCAAGTGAGACAGGTATTTTTTATACCTCTCGGTGCTCTGACCTCCCTGGTTCATTCACTGTCTACCAAAGCTCCTTCCCCGAGCGAGAGTTAATAGCAGAAGTGCTATTCCACAATCTTGGTGTTGAGTGTGCAGACGGAGTGTCTCTTGTTTGCAGACACGAATGCAAAGCCTTCGACCAAATCCGGGTGCCAGGTATCGCTCCATAGCAGATGCCTTCTACAAGATGGTGCGGTACGAAGGGGCCATGCGGCCCGTGCGGGGGATGAGTGCGGTGGTCATTGGTGCAGGACCGGCGCACGCCCTCTATTTTTCCTGCTACGAGAAGCTGAAGCGAATCATCAGTGGCACAGAGCATGGCACCAACAGCCCCATTTCTCAAGGTGCCTCCTGTCACATTTCTGAGGCAGTTGCTCACTTTGTACCAGGTCTGAACAAGAGGAATTCGGGTCGCCCATGAAAGTCAAGTGTCGGTACGAGCTGTAATTCCACCCCAAAATATATACTAGTGGCTCCGACAACTAACCAAATTTAGAAAAGACAAAGGAGAAATTAACGAGAGAAAAATCCTCCGGGGAAATCGTCCTCGGTGCTCCCAAGGTGTAGCGGACGAAACAGCCGTGTCGAACTTCTGCCCTAGTCCTTGCGGCGTATCATGTTGGTTAGCCATCACGACTTGAATTGGCAGACTACTCGTTAGTGCCTCATTTCTTGCTCCCTAATGTTGTCAAGTTCGATGCCATTTTGAACCAGTGTTCAGTCTTCTATTGAGACAGGTATGCCTCAGGCTGAAATTATAGCGTGAACCATTGCATGTTTCAAATGTGACACCTTGTAGAACCGTGAGGAAGAATGCACACTGAGAGGAAGTGTCCAGGCTTCTGTGAGGCTACTTTGCAAACATATCTACTAAGCATAAGGGATTTGTTTTAGTGGGTCTTGTATTACAATAATCTGTTGGGATAAGGATATCTGGTTTAGGATGAGCTGTTATCAGCAGCAGCAAGTATTAGTATAAATTATGGTATGTCCAGTACTTTGGAAGTCAAGTTAATGGAAGATGGACGAGGACAGTGCACTGCAAGACAAGCTGATGGGTTCAACCTTCCTCAAGAAGCAGCTATTTTCGGAGGCTGTATTTGAGTGTGTGAGAGATAGATAACTGAAAAGTGTAGGTGGGCATGTGGTAGATATTGTACGAGAGCCGAGTAACTCTGAGACCTTGACCCCCGCAGGCTTGGCTGGATGTTTGGCCACTGTGATGCATGACAGCATCATGAACCCTGCCGAAGGTGAGTTCCAATAAGAGCCCCTACCGCCCTTTTGCCTAACAACCTGCGTGGTTTTGTTCCAGTGGTGAAGCAACGCATGCAGATGTACAACAGCCAGTTTAAGCGCTGCAGCGAGTGCTTCTTTTACGTCTGGCGACAAGAGGGCGGCCACGCCTTCTACCGCAGCTTCACGACGCAGCTCTCGATGAACATTCCCTTCCAGTGCGTTCATTTCGTCACCTACGAGTTTGTGCAGGTGTTGACCAATAAGGAGCGTACCTACAACCCCGTGGCACACATGGTGTCCGGGGGCATTGCGGGTGCCTTTGCGGCAGCCGTCACGACACCCTTGGACGTCTGCAAAACCCTGCTCAACACGCAGGAGTCTTCCCTCCTCAGGAACACGCACCAGTCTCAGATCAGTGGCTTGGTGAATGCGGCAACCACCATCTACAGCTGCTGCGGCCTCAAGGGATACTTCCGGGTGAGGCTTTGTCTGGCACCAGCCTTTCGGTTCCTTTGAAAGCCTCTGTACGTGGACGTTGTTGCTTTTAGAGCTCAGCTCTTAGGCGCCCGTTTCCAGCTTGAGCGGCGTCGCCGTCGGCGTCGGCATAACCGCGCGGTGCATTATGGGAAATGTCCCATAATGCAACGCGCGAGACTCGTGGCGTCACGAGGATCACGTGATGTCACTAGGGTCACGTGACTTGACTAGGGTCACTTGACGTCACGAGGGTCACTTGACATCACAAGGGTAACGTGATGTCACGTGGCGTCACTAAACCCAGGTGACGTCCCGAGGGTCACGTGACGTCACGTCACGCGTTGCATCATGGGAAACGTCCCTTGATGCAACATGTGGGGAAGAGGAGGAGGGAGGGGTGGAGAAGGGGAGGAGGAAGAGGGGGAGGACAGGAGGAGGAGTAGCATACCCTCCCCTCAGTACCCCTCCTCCTCCTCAAGAGCTGCGCTCTAATTCGGTGTTACAGGAAGTTGTAAACCTCATTTTTTTTACTTTTCATAATTGAGAAAATTGTAAATATCACTTCTCATTAAAGCTAAATTCTAGAGAATCTGCAGTAAAAAAGGTGGCCCAAAAAACATTCTTAGAAAAACAAAATCATCATTTAAGCGATTTTTGAGGAGAAAAAAAATGGTTAAGAAGGAAAGAGCACCTGGAGTAGTGCCTATGTTCGTTATAGAGCCACTGCATTATATTTGTTATTCACTCAGTGTTTGTGCATATTTTGAGCCGACCTGTTTTTATTACTAACCTCTCAAATTGTCTTTTCTGTTTATATGCTGCACTTCCTTAATTAAAGGGGGGGACACTGGCTAGAGATTTAACTTCTGAACTACTCAAGTGATCAGAATGATATTTGCAGGGGATATTTAACATCAGATGTATGTGTATTGTGCAAACCTTCAGCTCTCTCAATTTTACATACCTGCAGATGTGTCACTCTTTGTTAAGAAATCTATGCTATGCAAATGAAGCTATTAAGCACCATTTTGACTGCTTGAATATAAAGTGGGGGATGTGAGACTTTGGGCTATGTAGTTTTTATAACTCAAATGTGGATATTTCAGGAAGGGTTATTACCTCAAAAATATCAGATGCATATCTGTCCTATGTCAATTTTTGAAAACATTGTTTTTTTTTCTCAATGAGGACTTCAACTTAAAACAAAATAAAGTAGATAGCCTGATTCCCCAGTAAATTTCAGTTAAAAAAAAAATTTTTGATTGTGGTATCAGAATACTTTTACTTTCGAACAAAAGATTTCTTCGTTTGAAATTTGCAGCAAAAAGTGGAACTGAGAAAAATGCATTCAAACATTGAACTCCTTTACTTTATTACTGCCTCACAATGTGTTGAAAATATTTTCTAGCAACATAATTATTTGGCGTATGGTTACCAAATTTAGTGTAAGGGTGTATAATTAGTTTCGAAAACCTCAAGCTTGAACAGGGTGTGCACATGTCTTTGAATTCCTTAAAAACTCTTGAATTAAAAAATTGGGTTTTCAAGGCCCTTGAAAATCCTGGATTTTTTTTGCTAGACCTTGAAAACCCTTGAATTTGAAAATTTGGCTTGCTGGGCCCTTGAAAGCCCTGGAGTTTTTGGCTAGACCTTGAAAATTCGTGAATGGCTATTTATAATAGCAAATGCGGGTATCTATTGTACATTTTTGTTATGCTTATTGATTTTTTTTTTTTTTTTTTCGTTTTGGTCTAAGTTATTTCAATTTGGTTTGATTTAGCTGATGTTCATTGGATGGTTGACCACATTGGAGCAGATCCGAATCCAAACTGATCCGGGAATGCTTTGCGCTGTGTCAACGTTACTAGATTACCTCGGTTGTGGAACTCCCTGCCACCCATCGAACTGTGTGTTCCATAGACTACAGTGGAACGCCATCTAGACGCTGCGCTTCGAAACATACGCATCCCATAGTAACACTGTAGTTACCAAAGCAGCCATCCGGTGCGTCGAACGACGGGAGGCGAGTCGTGGTGGAGGGGGGGGGGGGGGGGGGGGGGGGGCAGGGGTGGTATTGCTCGTGCATGCAGAGTCTATGAGCAGTTCCGGAACTCAGCTAATCTGATAACGTTCCGCACTGTTTCCGCCATTGGCCTCGTGTTTTGTCGTCGGTCGTAGGAAAATGCCCGGCAAAAGCAAGTTTCAAGGTGCGTGGCTCTGCAGTGATGAATATAAGGACTGGGTGGCGCCAGATACGACAAATCAGCATCGTGCAAGATGCAAGATGTGCAGAAAAACCTGTAATGTCGCTGCCATGGGCGAGTCTGCGTTGAAGAGCCATATGAAGAACGCGAAACTTGCCGGCATCATGAAGATCGCTCGGTGCAAAATTACCTGGCTCTGGGCACAAGTGAACAAACCACTTTCCCGCCTCCATTGCAGTTGCCAAACCTAAACCCTGCTTGCAGTTGGTGTTGTTGGTGACAAATGCGTTGGTGACAGTTGAGTTGGTGACAAACGCCGAAGTGTTGTGGACTCTGAAGGTCGTCACATCCCACTGTTAGGTCCTAGAAAATACTCCTACAAGACCTTGAAATTCCTTGAATATCTTTCTTTAAATCCTGTAAAAACCCTGACAAAAATGAATTAAAAAAAAAAAATTGAAATTTAGGCTTATGTCCTTTTTTTTATTAAGCTTGCAGAATGCTGAATAGTGTAACACACCACAAATTGAATGCACGATTAATGCACATCCCTTCTGCTTGCTCTTAGACACTTCTTAATCGAAGGAAATGCTACCATTTTCAGCGGTCCCCATTTGGGTAGAAATTGAATGAGAAAAGGAGATAAGAGCGTGTGGGGACGTCAGGATACTGACCTCTTGTTAGAGTGATTAGTAGGTAGACGCAAAGCTAGCTGCCTCTACTCGCTGGTCGAACGCATTCAAAGAGGGACTAGAGACGAAGGCAGCCAGCTTTGCGTCCATTCATTGATTCTAACGAGAGCTCAGTGTTCTGATGTCCCTGCATGCTTTCGTCTTCTCTTTCTCAATTTCAACCCATATTGTGCTAGCCAGATCCTGCTTGCGCATCACTGCTCACATCTCGCATACATCTCCCCTCCCTAAATTTGGAAACTACTTGAAGCGTGCGTGCTAACGTGTTCCTTTCTCGGCGCAGGGCTTGAACGCCAGGGTGCTGTTCCAGATGCCTGCAACAGCCATCTCCTGGTCCGTCTATGAATTCTTCAAGGCCAGCCTGAATTCGAGAGAAAGGGAGTTTAGCCCAGCAACGAGTATCGACACAGCCGTGGCGGGCGTCTCGATAGCCAGGCCGAGCATGTAGACTGCAAGCGAGGCTTTCCTTCGGAGCAGCTCTCCATATGGCAGCCTACGATCCAGAGGGCCACACATTGCCGCGGCTCAGCGAATGGCAACAACTAGTCGGGCCACAGTGCAGCTCAGAGGCCTCGTGATACTCCAAGCGCTTGCTAGCAGGTCGCTGGCAACAGACCTCCAGCAATTGGCATAACCGGCGTCTTTCAGGAGGCCTCTGGCATCCGCTGGCTCGGGCTGCAGCCCCAAGACCTCGGGTGGAATCGCTCTGGGCTGTGCCCCTCCACTCGATGAGTGTTGGTCACCAGTTATCCCAGTGTCTGGTTCTTCACGTTGTCGTGCACGCTTTGTTGACGGGAAAGGAAAAGACTACAGGACTTTGGAGTGTGTTGAGCAGAAATAAATGTGACGCAGTAGTTGATTTTTATAAACGCTTCTCCTATTGTTCCTCAACTTTAGTCCGTCCTTGCTGTCGAGTGGCTTATGTTCTTGCGTTAACCTCGCGAGAAAACTGTGCCTATGGAAAGTACTAAATTGCTTCTATACACTGTTTCAGCATAACTTTGCAAAGGGCAAAAGCCCCTGTGAGCCGATCGGCTCACAGGGGCTTTTGCCGACCGGCCAGGCAGTCAAGTTTGCTTTGACATCTTGGGTGAATTCTCGCAACTCGGAGACAACCTGTGGCCGCACTCGTTGACCCTGAGCTCAACCTTTCGAGTGTCCCGCGCCTAACTCCAACGCGCACTTGTGTCCAGTCATTGGGTGGCCCGCCCAAAGTTGCCCTTTTTGACCATCAGCCGCACTGACTAGTGGCCGACCGAGGCGCCTTGAGTGCACTGCCCTGGGGCTCTGGGGTAAAGTATGCTCTGCGCAAAAGTGTGCTCCGACAGCACACTGCTACAAGCCTCGCCCCTATGCTCCGCTTTGGCTCGCCATAGTCATGGCTAATTTGGTGTTTGCCAAGTTGTGTCAAGGCACAACGCATACAACGGGCGAGATGGCAACATACTGTTGCAGCTAATGCTTTCATGTCACAAATTTGAACTGATCTGCTGTCTAGTGTGTCAATTTTCGATTAATTTCGGATCATCTTGTGCCTTTGAACTTGACCCTTTTCAAAAGCCCTTGGAGCAGCATTGATGGTGGCCATTTCTTGGGCACGAAGATTGGATCCAAATGTTGACACAAGACTCGTTTTCAATATGAGTCGTGCCGAGTTCCCTTGTGCCAAACCTGCTTGGATGATCGAGCAATGGCAGACACTTTTGAAAAGTTTCTGTACATGGGCTGAAGTTCTCCATTGAAATCATTTGCATCTTTTAGTAGTGATCTTTTAAAATTAGTATACCACAATATTTTAGAGACAGCCCACCTAAAATCAAGGGCAAATCATGAAAATGGGGAGTGGGCAAATGTGCAATATAGTATAACCAAGAAAAGTTGCAAACAAATATTTAGCAAAACAATGTGAAGGTTTGTTTACGCTTTGTTCGCTCGCCCTCAAAACCTTTAAATGAGCAGTGCCTATCACTATCGTACAAAATGTCGATCACTTCATTGCCACGTAGGTCCTGTGACCTTTCAAGCTTGTAATCGCAGCAGGGAGGCTATGAACCAAAAAAGACTGTTATGCCCAGTCAGCATTTATTGCCTGCCTAAGTGTCCTCATTTCCGTTGAGGTCACCATTGGCCCGTGCAGTGGAATTACTAGAAGTAAGATATCTTTTGGTGTTTTTTTAAAAAATACCGCATTGTACCAAAGCTAGGGGTGGGTCATCTTTCGGGGATAAAACCTCTCGGCGGTAGATTCCCCCCCCCCCCCAAAGTTTAAAATGCATAGTGGCAGGGCTGTCCTGAACCTTGTCACACTTTGCTCAGAGTTTGAAGGCTCGCCGAACCTCGAGGTCTGCCAAGTCTGTGACATCCCCCATTGCAAGACATGCTACATTTTTCAAGTGACATTAAGTTTTGTGGGAAGCTTTTTGTAATTGTCTATAATCACTTTTCGACACCTTGCAGAGCATAACTGTTTTATTTATTTACAAAAACAACCTTTTTGTACTTAGCCCGAGACTGAGGCAGGAAAAGAGGGAAGTTTCGAAGTAGAAGAAAAATTAACAGTCGAAGACACCAAAAGATAACAAAGGTCTCACATCTTTCCACCACAATATAAGTTGGGTAAGCTCACACCCTTCCACAAAAGTGTAAGGGAATGCGCAAAAACGCATCAAGAAAAGTCTATTCCGTGTGGTAATGGAGTGGTATATGAAATCCCCCTGGAATGTGGCTTTAAATATGTGGGGCAGACGTCAAGGTGTATAAATGACAGATTGACTGAACATAAAAGGAATGTCAAAAACAACGTTGCCAATTCGGAAATAGCGAAACATGTTCAAGAATATAATAATTGTATACCCCACTGGTCTGAAACAGAGATAATACACAGGGAGTTAAACGACATCAAAAGGGTTGTAAAAGAAACAATAAGAATGAAATCAATGGGCAACTGCATTAGTCAGTGTCGTTACAGCTTAGCAGCAGTGCAAAATCATTCTTGCGGATTTGAAAGTTTTGTAAAGTGCTTGTTGAATGTGAAGGTGTAAGTGGTTTCTTCCTTTGTGTATCACGTGGATTGATATCTTCTGTTACCGGGATGCTTTGTGATTGTGGGTCGGAGAGTAGAGGGAGAGAGTGTATTGTGTAGCGAAGGATTCAGTCAAGTGTCTTCCGGATGAGGGGAGCTATTGTTCATTGCTTCGTGGAAAACGTCAAGGTCGTTTGACGATTGTGGTGGAAAGATGTGAAACCTTTGTCATCTTTTGGCTTTCGAGATCGGGAAGGTTCTGTGGTGAAGTTTGTGGAGTGTATATAAGGTGACCAAATAAACTTGTCTTTAGCTGTGTTAGAGACGTGTCTTCGACTGTTCATTTTTCTTCTACTTCGAAACTTTCCTCTTTTCCTGCCTCAGTCTCGGGCTAAGTACAAAATGGTTAACATCCACCAGCTCGCCTGCGCAATCACTACATTATCAAAAACAACCTGTAGTGCCGAAGCAGTATAGTAGCATGGTACAGCCTAGTATTAATAACCAAAAAAGTCTTGTTTGTGGAACATGAATAGGTAACAAGTCGGTAAAAGCCGTTAATTAAACAAAATCAAGCTATGTGATGTGCATTAATAAAGGTGCCTGCATGTGCATTATTTTATCATAATGTACACACTTCCAGTGCAAAAAGCATTTAGTCTTCTCCAGTTACGATATCTTGTAAGAACTAGCTTGTGCAGCATGTGAACTATGCACTGAACTTGCCTTTTTTCCTTGTGACCAGGAGGATTAAATGTCGGTTGTCAAACAAACCAAAATACTTTGAGGTTGTGTCTTATCCAACTTGTGCACCGATGCCCCATGCCACTTATATATTTTTCACTTCCTTTTCTGTCTTGCACTCTTTTTTTTTTTTTTTTTTTTTTTTCCACATCGCAGTGACAACGAGCTTTGGGAAAGCCATGGATACGAATCAAAATTTTAGTGGTTCGGGTTCACGGCTATTAGTTCAGTTCTGCTCAGCACTGGGAGCAAATATCAATGTTTCAAACCACTTAGGTCTACATAAATTTTCTGCATCTTTTTAGATATTGGCATTAGTGTTGATTTGAAACAAGTAGTTGGTGTATACTAAGGTTTTATGCCAAAAAACACAAGGGCAAAAGTGAAAGGACATGTATTGCCGCTCACTCTGTCCTTGTATTTTTTGGTATAAAACCTCAGTATGCATCAGAACCAACTAGCCGAACTTGCAGTCTTAATTTGGAGTAATCATTGTGCAATCCACTTTTACTTTTAGGTAAAAAAAAAAAAGCAAGGAATCCTCTTGCATAACATAGACGCAGCAGTGTAGAAAACTAAATTAAGTCTTGGAGCCGGCAGGCATCCAAGCATGTGCTCATCCAGTTTTTTTTTACAGCGAGGCTGTTAAGGGCTTGTTCCCCCACTATCGTGTCCGCGAACAAGCAGCGTGTTGACACAAAACTCGAGCCAGTACAGCTTTGCTGGTCTTCCATCTTCACCAGAGTGGAAAGACGGAATTTCTCTACGCGTCCTCCTAGAAGCCGTCCTCGAGGACGTCGTCTTCTTGGTGTCGTCCTTGAGGTCGTTCTAAGTCGCCCTAGACGTCGTCCGAGAGGTCATCCCCTAGGAGTCGTCCTTGAGGTCGTCCTAGACTTCGTCTTTAAGGTTGTCCAAGGAGTCGTCCTTGAGGTCACCCTAGACGTCCTCTAGGCATCGTCCTAGAAGTTGTCCTTGAGGTTATCCTAGATGTCGTCCTCTAGGCGGCATCTTAGAAGTTGTCCTTGAGGTCGTCCTAGACATCATAAAGATAACAGGTTCGCTAGTCCTCCATCTTCACGTGAAGTGGAAGGGCTCTACAATTTTTTTTTTCATCTGCAGGCTATTGCTAGGTGCTATGCATTGTCAGCCAAACAAGCTTCAAGGGAAGTGGGCCATCAACAACAGCCAGCAGCTTAGTCATCGTTCCCTTCGTGAAGAACACATCGTCCGTGTTCTTGCGACTACCACCCCCACTGCAAATGAGCTTACCCTGGACCGATATAAAAGGGCTGTTGCCAGTACTATTTTGGATCCCGGAGCTGACAGCATCCAAGTATGCACTCACCCAGTTTTTTTTGTCTGCAGGCTATTGCTGTGTCGGTGCTATGCATCGTCAGCCAAACAAGCTTCAAAGGAAATGGGCCATCAACAACCACAGCCAGCAGCTCGGTCATCACTCCCTTCGTAAAGGACACATCGTCACCAAGGATCGAACAAGAGGGGGCATTCTTTTGTGTTCCCGTGACTACTACCCCTAACCTATATAAGATGACTTGCCACTACTGCTCTGGGTCTCAGAGCCGGCAGGCATCCAAGCATGCGCTCACCCAGTGTTCTTTGTCTGCAAGTTAGTACAGTTCACACTAGCTGCCTTCCTATACTTCGTTTCACGATAACTTGGCAAACTGTGGAGGTACGGCCCATGCGACCCAATAAGAGCGTTGGAGCGAGGCACATGATAACACATCACTGGAGCGTCACTGTGCCAAGGAACCGGCTCTTGTCTGCTGGTCAAGAGCCGTCTGCTGCAAAACCAACCAACTTTGTATGAACGTCCACCGCTGCAACATTGCCGTCTGCTAGAGTTACAAGCTCTTCGGGAAAAGTTCATGAGACAACCATACGCTCCATTTCCCCGCAAATCTGTGGCGAGTGCTAATGCCAGGGCAATGTTTTGAGCGAAGCAGTCGGTTACATGGCTGCGATTACCAATGGCTACGGCTCTAATAGGAGAAAAAAAATCGGGAGCGGATAACGATGTGGAGTCACTTTTTTGGTTTAAATATAATTGAAACTCTTAAATTCGTGAATATTTATTCTTTG